TAACTTTATAAATTTTCAACAACTACCTAAAAGCTTTATTTTCAATTTTATCCCAAATTTAATTTAATTTACTAAAAGGTAAAACGAAACTTTTTCTTTCTACTTATAACAACCCGCTGAGTTTAGATCAATATCGTATTAATAACTAAAACTATTGATTCCCATTAAACTTTCAAAGTTTTATTACGAAGCGGTATTAGACAAGTTCCCCTAAATATTTTATATTGGTAATAATAAAAAAGTCGTTCTAAATTTGACGTTATCCAAACAAAATTTATTATTATTTTACAAAGTTTAAATGGTTAAAAGATTAAGCACACCTCCGATAAAACTAAAACATTATCTATAGTTTATTAGCAGATTACCGTCGCCCTAATTTACATCAATCTGTTGGAAAATGCCGGAAGCTTAGTTTACTTCCGCAAGCTTACTAACCGTTTGAATTTTGGTATACAAACGCACCAATCAGTTCATTAGTGTGACAGGGTTTCACGTGCACACGACACGTCGTTGATATATCGGTGACATTTCTCTCTCTACGTGTGCTGCAACACCAGGCAGTTAAGTCCTCCTATATTTTGAAACCTGGAAAGCTCCAACTGGTTACGACACGATAACGTGAAAATAGCAAAAGTCTTTTATCTTCGATGGTCACACATTTTTACAATTGTTCTCTTCAACAGTTTTTATTTCATAGACGTATCTTTTGTTATCTTTTAAAGGCAATTTTGCTTGTTACTATGTTTACGGTAGATTAAAAAATAATGTATCTACTTTAATTTTATATTGAGACATTTCTTAAATAATTATATTTTAATTTATTTAGTGGGATATACATATCTATAAAACATAATTATTAGAGAATTAGATGAGACCTTGAAAGCTGCTTCCGATGGAATTTAAACCAAAGGAGGAAGTGTAGAAAATTTGAAGAAGCCAAATAACATGTAATTTTTATAATCTTAGTATAGATCATAACGGGGATAATGAAGATATATATGAGATGGATTTTTAGGCCACCAAACTCAACCTAATAAGTTTCCGTTTGTATTACGGACATCAATGTTCTTCGCAACTGTTCCATTCTTAATAAAAATGAACTGTAAGTCCGCCGAAGAAAAGTTATTGCGCAAAAGAACCACTCCTTTAGGGACCGAGATTACATAGTCGACGCTGAGTGTTAAATCTCGAACCTCTGAGAATTGGGGTATAGAATTCCCGATCATTCCCAGCACACCGCTCACCTAGGATGCATTCGATGTAAAGGACGATAGGGGAATTACCATAAAAACCTGATTCCATAGATAAAGACATGATTTAGGGCAGATTTTAGGTATTTTGTTGTATTGAGCACAAATTAATATAGTTACCCACAAAAGAAATAGTTGTGTATCTTGATGTTCCAGGATGAACTGAAATTGAATTTAGAGAAAAAGAATCTGATAAAGTTTATAGATTAGAGCTTCCAAAAATGTAGACTAGTGGTTTACTTTCCATGGTAAGTGAAAAGAACCATATAATTTTTGTAAATCTAGAAGAATTGAAACAAATGGTTAAAGATGTCCTGAAACTATAATGAAGCAGTAATTACGACAGTGCGTCCACAAATATATCTCCAATACAAAGCAACATCAAGGCACTATTTTTTTTATTATTACAGATCACATGCAAGAAGTCCAATGCGTATTTAAAAGGCAATAACATGTCAAAGAGCAGTGTGTTACAAAATGGTAAATAAAATATCTGATCTCCTAAAGAAAATACGTAACAATACTGTGTAGTAATTGCTCGTGTGGGAGAAAGATAGAGCAGCATTAATAACATAATAAAGTAATATTGAAAAAGCCTACATTATAATATTTTGCTCCATCTGTTGCAAAATCTGCAAAAACTGACTAGAATTGCAAACAATTTAAAAGTTATATTTCTTGTTAAGGTCTATACCTTCTAAAATCGATGATAGAATTTTGTTTTTGATACAGATTATGTTTTACGGTTCAGGAACAAACAATTATACTCAAGCAAATCCCAGAGGTCAAGGTTGGACGCCTATAGGAGTTCCAAGAATAGTTTAAGGTCAAAATAACTGAATCATATGAAAGAGAAAATAAGATCCAAACAAAAAGAAAATTTTCCAGACGGAAAATTGTGGAAGGAAAGAATAAAATTGGTCAAAGTTGAAAACATTGTGGTACGCCGGGATGAATTGTGGTGACATAATTATTTAGCATCTGCAGGAGATTAAAGAAGCTGGCAATATTAAATTTAACTAACATTTCAAAAAGTATTTTGTCAAGAAGCTTGTCGAAAGCTTTGCCAAAGTTCGTATAAATGACGTCAAAAACCTTACAAACTCAACCAAGTTCGTTTCTAAGGTCAAAGCGTAAAGGACAGAGGGGTTGAGAATTTAGGTCTGCTTTAAACGTCACCATTTTAATTCCCCAAGAAGTCAAGTCCTTGGAAATTGGTAGATGTAAAGCATTCAAAAGCCATTTTATAACCAAAGTAGCGCCTGTCGATGGAGTAAGTTGACTCCTCTGGTTTGCGTCACCAAGTTGGTTCAAAAATGACTTACAACGAATTGTCAGAGCGCAACTAAAAATGCTTTAGGGTCAAATCAGACACATTGATATTTTGCGGCATCAGCTAATGACGTATTTTGTAATTCAAGAGAAACAATAGGAACAACAAGATCGTTTTTATTTTTGATTTTATTGCATTAAATTATTAAACATTAAAGAATCCAATGATTTGCTTTTGAATAATTTTAAATTCTTTATAGATATCATCAGATATGACCGAAAATTAATTTTAGATCGGGTTTGCCGATAGTATCAGCAACATCTACCATTTTGAGATGGAGGCTTAGATGCTCATTGAGGCTGAAATTAAACGGGCGTGTTTTATAGATAAAGACATAGAGAAACTTCGCAAAATGAATCGAAAAATAATCGTATTATCGACAAGAAATGGATTTTGGCGTAGAAAGAAAATCTGGGAAACACCAGATGTTCAGCGAGAGAAAAAATGGACAGAATGGAATGAACGTATAACACATAAATGAAAAAAAAAGTGTACACACCGGAATGTGTAGCAGTACTTGAAAAAAACGTTACTAGAGATGTAAACTGATTTTAATATCTTTAATAATCACAAAATAATTTCTTATGTTTAAAATTAATTGTTCGTGTAATAGTGTGACTTTGGAATAAATGTAAACCGTATTGTTTACACAAGATTTAATCAATATTGCATATTAGATACAATCAGCACCTGCCCATAAATTGCACAATAGCATAATCTCCTCGGATTCGATGAAATCTGTATTATCCAATTGTATTATACGAGAATTGGGATTAATATCAAACCGATATTGTATATATATCTATATGTTTATCAGATAATATTATTGTTATCGTAAGGATCGTTTTAAGTGTTCACTTAACTAGAAATTAGCCTTTAAATTACAATTACCGCCGCCAAGTTATGGATTAACGGACACGGAAATTAACATTTCACCCGTGTTTCGCGTAATTAACTATGATTATTAATTATAATGCGCCTAGAGGCTAAGAAACAGGTTGCATGTAACTTTACCATTTATAACCAAAATGAGTTTTAAGAAACCTATTAAGATTTTAAGTTTACTTCCTTGTTATATAACTTGAGTATATTTGCGTGCCAAACATCATTATTATTTGAAGTGTATGAAATAGAAAATAATTTACTGTTCGAATTTATCGTTTAGATAATAATAGAAAAAAGTGGAAGAAATGGGAACGAAGAAGTACTCTTTGAAAAGCGGACGTTACTTTCATCAAAATAAAATAAGATGAAATCCGGCGTGTTGGTGTTTCGCTTGAATTCCCGAGAGTTCTGGCTGAGTAGCTACCGGTCTTCCTTCGAAATACTTTTAGGTTCTAGGTCTCTTGTTAACACAACACACATCCACCAGTATACGTCGATTTCAAACCGTCCATTGATTTCTAGTGTCCGTTTTTGTTCAAGTTGACAGAACAGTGTGAAAATGTTCCAGGTCTCAAGACAGATTAACTAGCATCACGATACGTGATATGAAACATTTATTAATGCAATTATTTTCTAAATTAAAAGTTGAATGCAACGAAATTAATTAAATTAAATCGGATCATGCAGTTAGTGATTTAAAATCGTCTCGAGTTAATGTCTATGTACTCATAGTTATAGAAATTGACATGCTGTTATGGTTTTGACGCGGATTAAACGAAAAAGTAACTGAAAATCGATTATAAATTTTCCGACGAACCGATTATTGAAGTTGTTTACTTCATGTCAAGATTTTTTTTAAACCTATTTTCCAGATTCGTTTTTGTAGATAGTATGTTTTGTATCTATAAAAGTTAGGGGATGGTTGAATTTATCGGAAACATCACCTTGTTAACAGGTGTTCCAGCAACCCGAATCGATATAATAAAAGTAAATGTATCGCCAAATCGGCCCTGTTAACCCGACCGTAACAGAATGCACTGTCGATAACAGTAAACCCAGCGAGCTCTGGAAAACCCGGGTTATTGCAGAAAGAACGAGTTGAGGGTTGATGGGATGGTGGTGAAGGTGCTAAGTTTTGTAAACGTTAATGCAGCAATGTTTATAAATGAATAATTAAATTTTTAGAAATTTTTTTTTCAAATAAAAGTAATTTAGTGTTAAGCGGTGATTAAGTGGATGTTAAGTCCTGATTTTCTCAAGAAGTTTTCATTAAGTGTGTTATACAACAAGTTCTCTATTTTAATTTGGTACAAATATCATTAAAATATGTATATATTATATAATTGTTTTGTAATAGATTGTTACAAAAAGATATATCAAAAAAATAGAGATGGTTAGTCCCTGAAGAAGCTGCGATTCACATCAATAAGTGGAGACAGACGATCGGCAACCATCGGTTCCCTTCGAAGGGCCTCGTCCTGCCGGCAGAGTGGCGCTGTAGTCAATACCGCAGTTGAGAGTGTCCTGGCAGGATCGTGTAGTTCCGAGTCCTGCCGATGCTAGATGTGCGTCTTTGAAACTCTCTCGCGGAGGTTCGCGGTAAAAATTGTGATTTTGAATAAATTTTTTGAAACAAAAATTATTTATACAAAAACTGTCATAAATTAAAAAAAAATAGTGATTGTTTTCGTTTTGTTTCCATGTAGTGAAAATTTTTGTGATCAAAAAATTGAAATAATATAGTATATTAAAAATTAATGTGTATTTGAACCTTCAAAGTTTCCGTAGTTAACTAAAACTAATTAGGATTCTGTGCTTCTCCTTTTACGGTAAGTTCAAAAATAATTAATCATGTTTACATTTTTCTTCAACTTTGTCCGGGAAAAACTTTCCAATGTGTCACAAACACGGTGATTTATTTATAAATTTAGATTTTTGCCTTCACAAATTTATGTACGATAGAAAAAAATGTCCTTTAGTGTTCTCCATCGTTCACTTTGACGTATTAATCGTTTAGTTAGATCGGTCGCGTCCATTTGGTTGATTATTTCGAAATCGGCTTTCATTGGAATCAGTTTACCGCAGAACTCCGCGCTGCTTTTCTGCCTGGAAGGATTCCAAAACACACCGCTCCATTGCTCCTGTCTGCAACTGGAACGCTGTTTCCGCAAAATAGTTACTTCCTGCCGCAAAGTAATGGCTCCGTCTGAAAATGAAAACGTTAAAATATGGACTTTAGTTTTGCTAGAACAAAACTTACTGTTTGGATTCATTAGTTTATAATTATTTTGAACATACCTCTATTATAAACATATTTTTAACTTTAATTTGTCAAAAAAATTTTATTTCTCATACATTAATTTAGAATAATTTGGAACGTGAAGAATTTTTGTTTCAATTTAGGTTAAATCAAAAACTATATAGAACCCATTATATATTCTATGGCAACAGATAATTAGTCAGCTTTCTTTAGGAATTGTATCCGTGCTCCATTTCTGGTATCAAATGATGATTTTGGAGCATTTTTTTTTTTTCAATCTGACTTATACGACCAGAAAAAATCGGGTACAGTACCAGTAATAATACATACTGCAGCATTATGTTGCACCAGTCTATGGCAAAACATTAGAATCATCGCTGTTGTTGTAAAACGGGATATTGTTAGAAGATTGGTTTCAGAAATATTTTTTCTAAATTGGCTTTTTGTTTCTGCTTCAGTGGAAGTGGCACTTTTATTACAAGCGTTGTTGATGCATCTGCCGGAATTAGCAAAGAGAAGCAAGATGTTGGTATATTTTCAGTGCATGGTCTTCTTTATGTTTCTTAACTAGACAAAAAAAATTTCAAGTGTAGCTGCTGCAGTCATATTTCTACCTGCTACGGTTTCATTTGGTGATTACAAGTAGATTGATTGCAAAAATAATTAAGTAGAAGTTTCTTAATTCGACTCTAAAAAAGCCTTCAACCTCAGCAATATGGCTAAATCTGAAATCGCCGCTAGTGTTATAGAACTGATGGTTGCGAGAAAACTGGTTTCAGAAATATTTGCTCTTAGTTGCCTTCTTCATTATCATTCCTGTCACCTTGAACATTGTCCCAACCATCTCTCAACGTTATCTTTGATAACGCTAAATCTTAAACATCACTGTCTCGCCCATCTTTGAATATCGTTGCAGCGCGATGAAATATTGTATAATTGATGCTCCTAGATCTAACAAAAAGTATGCCTCTTAACATTGTGTCTTCTTCAGAAAATATTCATAACGGAATAAGCACACAAAGTATGTTTTTCTACCTTTGTAAAATATGATTTTTAAGTGAGGGAATTCTCCTACTTCTTCTAAGTTTCTGGAGAGTCATCGTATAAAACGAAGAAGCTCCGAAGACAAATCTAATAATTGTCATTATGTGAGGGAGAGGCTATTGCAACGAAATACAAATAAGTATTGGAAACACATTTCAAATCATCTGATTTCATCGAGATACTTACTTTGTCCACTTTAGTATCGATATTACTTTACCTGTATTTCCGTTATTTTTGATAAATGTGATTTTTCGCTGAAAAAACTATAATTTTATCAAATAGATTCTCGACTTTACATCAGAACTTAAGTGAGGACAACTAACAAACAGAATCCAAAGAAACCCTCCAATATTTACCCAAAATATAGTGATTGTAAAACTTTGTGAGCTTTTAAATAAAAATGGCTTCTCAGAAATACACGATAAAAATCGTGAATATTGGTCACGTTAAAAATCACTTTTTTTTTTCTCTGATTAAAAATCTGGATGAATTTTTTGGTGCTTTATGGTTTAGGTCGTATTTGAGAGAGTATCGTTTCTCTGTTAAGAATGGTTAGTGTGGTGTTCTGCATTCTTCTGTATTTTCTTTTCTTCATTAATTAGAAGTGACCTAGTTTTGTGCTGAATCTGATGAAATCGTAGACTAGCTGTTAGCATATGGATGCTTGATGTGTTTCATCGAACCTATATTATACACTGACTTCCCTGTACTTTTAGGTAGCAGAGTTGATAGACACTCTGTCTTTATTATAACGTTCTAGGACGCCATAATCAGATGAGTATAGAAATCAGCTATTAATTTAACGAAGGACGATTTGCAAATGAAGTTAGTCTTTCAGTATTGTACAAAAGCATTATATTATTATTATAAAAGTTCTGACTTTTAGTTCAGAATTAATAATTGCTAAAGTTAAAATTTAATTTTGTCACTCACAATCAAACAGTTTATAAATGGATTCATTAAAATGTGAACGGAGCACGGCTTTTCATTTAGATCTTCTGTCACTATTGAAACTGGTGTAATATATTTAATAAAATTATTTTATTTTCATTAAATTCAAATCTGTACCACTCTTATTAATTACATTTATTATACAATGCAAAAAAAATAGTTATTAAACATCAGAGGCCCGATTTTGGATATTTTCCTCTACAATATGATTCGGTGTTGTATACAAATTATTTTTAGTATTCCAGTTTATTTTATAAAAGCAGTAATGTTCACATTCAAAAAATGGATTGATTTATTCAATTCACATTAAATTGTATTTACAACGATACAATGAAGCAAAACACTCCCGTTTGCATAGGAAATCAAATATGAAATCATACCTCTATAATAAATCAATTCATTGAATAAATATTTGTTGCTTTTTATAACAAATTTTAATATTTATAATTATAATCATTCAATTTTTAAACAATTCAATGTAAAAAACATTATTTTTTTCACATTTATTCTCTATACAATTAGGTCCGGTTTCGTTTCTTTACTGGTTTGGTGGTCGTTTCAGGTCGAGCTGTTTAAATACGAAACGGTTTGATAACGTAGAAATGCGAACTCGACGGCGCGGCGCAACGTTGGCCACTTTTAATAGATTTTCACGGGCATATTAATTTAGCAAAATAAACTTTATAACGTAAATTCGCGTTTGCCGGGCGAAAGTAAACAAAGGCGTGCACTAACGAGACGGGCTAATTGAATAAATTTGGACCGCACAAACAAACCGACCCTAGGGCTACCGGGTTCTGCATTATTATTTGTTCGTTATTGGGATACGTGCATTTCTGGTATGGTATAAACGGTGCATTACATTAGGGATTGGGTCGAATTAGCCATCAGGTTTTAGGGTGAACTGGAGCTCTCTGCGAATCGAATCGACTCGGTCTAATAACGAGACATCATTAAGCTGTAAAGGTTCGGTTACAGTTTCATTGGAGACCCTACGATATTGGTTTTCAAGTTTCTCCACTCCGTTTGGCAAACCGCAATAAAAAGGGATTAAAAATTGATCACGCCGCCAAACCTAATTGAAACCTGTTTGGACTTTTCGTTGCCTTTTATACAAACACACTAAAAATAGTTAATCCTCTTTATTGTGTTTCTACGAAAAAAAATTCTTTCATTCAAAATTGACTGAAACCGTTTGTATGAAGGCGTGATATTGCTTAATATAATTAAGAACTGGGTCATGGTATTAATTACGAACGTAATTTATTTTTTATAAAAAAGGACGCCCCCAAGGATGGTGATTAACTGGCGATAACATGGAAAAACGTGTAACATCCGTGTGCAATAAAGTCGAAATAGAAAACGGCATCCTGTACATTCTCCGGAATGTGTAACACTTGCACGATAATGTCGTGGATATTAATGAGAAAGATTTCGATCTGACTTTTACTATTCTACACCCACATCGTTAAATTTCTTCGTATCAAGTTATACTTTTATTCTACAACTTAATTCATAATATTCGCTGAAACCTTTTTATATCATGAACAATCGATAAATTTAAGTCTAAAACTTTAGGAATACAATTGCGATTGTATATATATTCGATATTTACCCAGATTCAACAATCGATACCTGCGGTATATTTTGTTTCGTTGGAAAGTTTGCGGGCTATTTACTGGCCGACTTTGAAAGTCAACCACCCAAGTTTGCCCGGACATTTATTTGTCTGACAAATCGGTTTATACGAAGTCAACAAGCAACCAAGCGATGTACCGGGTTTTACGCAAATACCTATTTACTGTTCTCGTACATTGTCGGAAGACACAACAACATATAAATGCCTCCAAATTAAACCAAAGAAGAACAAGTTAATTTAGATTCACGTTAACAACACAAATCATATTTCATGTGACATTTTACATTTACATTCAAATTTACAATGTATGTTATGTTTCAGTCTAACTTTCATTTTGGGCATCATAATGTATTAAGCTTCGTGATATAAGTCACTATTAATTGTCTAATTTTTGTGCGTAAACATTTTGTAGATAGCAAAGTGAAAATAACATTTAGCATTGCACCCACTTGTAAATCGTCCGGTTATCGTCGCAACACTATAAACGCGCTATTTATGACGTTTTAATGGGGCGTAATTAGATAACGTTGCTAATGGAATTGGGGACATTTAACGAGAGTAGGTGAAACCAGTAGACCATTCTGTGGGCCAACTATACCGTGGCCTTTAGTATACTCTATAACTTCCGAGTATCCAAGCTTTAGTTGGAGTAATTTACCATTTATGTGTGCCCTCGCTAATGAATGAACCGAAAGGTTTAGTTGAGGAAATGTGCAAGTTGTTGCGTAAAGTTTAGATTAAAACTTTTAAAAATAAATTTGTTTCTGGTTCAATCTTATTAACTGGTCGACAGTTTAGTTGTTGACGAAAAACTAATTAATAGGATTAATTTGGTTGGTGCTTGTAAGCTATCAACCTACTTAATTTACCGTAACGATAAAGCGGAGGGAGGGTTGTTTGCCTAAACCCCGTAAATATGTCGCTTCGGCTAAGCG